TAATGACAGATGATCGAACGAGGGGGAATGGACTCGAGCTGCTCCAGGGGAGGTTTAGATTGGACGTAAGGAAGAAGTTCTTCACTGAAAGGGTTATCACACACTGGAACAGGCTGCCCAGGGAGGTGGTGGAGTCACCATCCCTGGATGTGTTTAAGAGATGGGCAGATGAGGTGCTGAGAGATATGGTTTAGTGGCGGACAGATACGGTTGGACTGGATGATCTCTAAGGTCTTTTCCAACCCAGTGATTCTATGATTCTATGTTTCCATCAACTGAGCCACGTCAAGCGAGACTCCAAGTAGGGTGCATAAATGTCTTCTACAGAGGCACTGGCAATACACAGTTCTCCCTCATTTTTGGCTTTTGTGGGTTTTTTTTTTTCCTTTCACAAATGACCTGTGACTAGGACACATACTCTTCACATTTGCAGTGTATAACCACATTTTACATGCCCTTTCTGCAGCACTACAAGCTGCTGCTTTGGTTGAATTTAATTTTAACACACCTCCCAAGCAGCAAGGAGATGGTGAGGGTGAAGCTTAATTGCCTGTCTGTGTCAAGCAAGACAGTTAAACATGCAGTTAGAGCACATGTTCAACAAGAAAATACGGTCCGTCTGATTCCACTGGGATGAAAGACTCCTTTGGTCTCCCAGGCTGAGGAAAAGTTTAAGGAAAACATCTGTATGGAGTTTTTGTTTCTAAGTCTAGAGACTGTTTGTACCTTGTCTGAATCTGGCTGCAAGTCCTTGTAGGAAAAGAAGGCCTAACAGAGAGCAATTACCTTCCTTTGATTAATACCTTCTAGTTAGTCAGTCTAAAATAGAGTGGAATTTTTTTGTGAATCTTGCTTCACTGAAGGATGAAAAGAGGTTTTCCACAAAAACACAGGACAAAATCCAGCCTTTTTAAACACAAAAGTTTATGGAAAATTCTGTGACTATCTTTATGTAAGAAAGATAGTTTTTAAAAAAGCAGTTTTTCTGCTTTCCCTAAGACTTCAGATCATTCTCTGTTTCTTTATACTTATTTTTTTCCAGTGGACATAAAAGTAGTTAGTAGCAAAGGACAATAATAGGCTTTCCCATTTCTTACAGAAAGAAAAGCCTCTAGAATGTACAAGATACAAAAATGAAACTTGCCCTGGACTTGTGCTAGAAATTCAAACACAGCAACTGCTGTGTGATCAAGTGCAAGATCATCAAGAAGTACAAGGGTTGATGTAGTTATTTCAGAAGGTGAAACATGTTTTAAGTGTCACCTATACACATGCACATACAGTTAAACAAAAAAATGTCCATGTAAAACATCCAATGAACAACTGACATTTAAATCAATCCAAGTTGCTGCTTCTCCGTGAAGAAACGGATCTCTCCCTCTGCTTTTTGGGACTAGTCCCCAGCTGATGATGGGGTGTGCTTGTTTTTTCAGAAGTTTGTGCATTCTATATTATGGTCTAAAATTCCCATCACTCATCTTTTAATACACCATACCCTACCTTTTTTGGGTAGCTGGAGCAATTTTCAAGACCTTGGAGTATCACTACCAGCAAGGTTACTATCTGCATCTTGATTCTCAATGTTTAAGACCCAGCTGCTCATCCAGATGTATGGTGGATAAGGAACTGGCTGGGTGGTTGCACTCAAGAGTTGTGGTCAATGGCTCAATGTCCGAGTGGTGAGCAATGATGAGCGGTGTTCCTCAGGGGTTGGTATTGAGACCAGTGCTGTTTGACATCTTTGTCAGCGACATGGATAGTGGGATTGAGTGCACCCTCAGCAAGTTTGCTGACAACACCAAGCTGTGTGGCACGGTTGACACACTGGAGGGAAGGGATGCCATCCAGAGGGACCAGGACAGGATGGAGAGGGGGGGCCTATGCCAACCTCATGAAATTCAACAAGGCCAAGTGCAAGGTCCTGCACCTGGGTTGGGGCAATCCCAAGCACAAGTACAGGCTGTGCAGAGAATAGAGCAGCCCTGAGGAGAAGGACTTGGGGGTACTGGTGGATGAAAAGCTGGACATGAGCCTGCAGTGTGCGCTGGCAGCCCAGAAGGCCAACCATATCCTGGGCTGTATCCAGAGAATTGTGGCCAGCAGGTCGAGGGAGGGGATTCTCCCCCTCTACTCTGCTCTCGTAGAGTACTGCATCTAGCTCTGGGACCCTCAATATAAGAAGGATATCAACCAGTTTGAGTGAGTCCAGAGGAGGCCAGAAATATGCACGAAGATGCTCAGAGGGCTGGAGCACCTCTCCTATGACAAAAGGCTGCGAGAACTGGGCTTGTTCAGCCTGGAGAAGAGAAGGTTCAGGGGAGACCATATAGCACCTTCCAGTACCTGAAGGGGTCAACAAGAAAGCTGGAGCGGAACTTCTTACAAGGGCAGGTAGTGACAGGACAAGGAGTAAATGGGTTGAAATTGCAAGTGGGGAGGTTTAGATTGGACATCAGGAAAAAATTCTTCACAAAGAGGGTGGTGAGGCCCTGGAACAGGTTGCCCAGAGAAGCTGCGGATGCCCCATCCCTGGGAGTGTTCAAGGCCAGGCTGGATGAGGCTTTGAGCAACCTGGTCTAGTGCAAGGTGTCCCTGCCCATGGCAGGGGGGTTGGAACTAGATGGTCTTTAAGGTCCCTTCCAACCCAAACCATTCTATGATTCTATGATTTAGGAGCTTTGAAATTCAACTGCTATGCTATTGAGCAGGTTTTGAAATCTTTTTTGTATCAGAACAGCTGCAGCTTTCGCTAAGCCTCTCCTTCATCTGTGTTACAGCTGAACTAAGATATTGAGCATTTTCTCTTTTGGGTCATACATGAGTCTGCAAATTTAAGGTGCTACAGGAGAAACATGCTCAATAAGCAGGATGCACAGGGCTGATCTCATAGAAAGATGTGGTTAGCATTTTGGACTGCAGATAGCTGTTGCTGGGAACCATCCAGCTAGATACCCACTGGTGCTACACTGAGCTCTCCCTATCCCTGGAGACAGATGCACTGTATTCCCTCCACTTGTATGTCCTACTGCTTTTCTTGTTATAGAAGATCCCACAGACCAACCTCACCACAGTTTCTTTTAGAGATAAACCCTTTTTTCTTTATTGTCAAAACAGGGATTCTGAAACTGTCTGCATACACACAGACACCTAGACAGATTTCCTCCTTCTAATTTCAGCAACACTGACGGGAAGATCTGTCTTCTTCAGTCCTTTGTTTTACACCTTTAATACATCACACCTCTCAACAAAGCCTTGTTTTCATTCCCCTCAGACACGTATATTTCAGTTAGCAAAGAGGATGCAAAAATGTCAATCAGTGTCTCAGACTGACAATTGCATTTAATTACCTCTGACCCCCCTAGCAAAGATGTTTAGAATAACAATTCAGGAATTCAACAAGGTTGTCCCCAGGTGCCTTAGAGATAACCAGAAGTGCTCTGACATGGCTTTCAAAAGGATATTTCAAATAAGCAGCCAAACTAAGCACGAGTCCTGAACCAATTGAAGTTTGCCTCTCTTGCTAATGTTGTCAACTATAATTTCTCCACATTTCTGGAGTGCCTTCTACTTTAGGATGCATGACAATTCAAGAGACTTTAATTGACTCTCAACATGCCTTTCATAAGTATTATTTCCAATTCACTGGCTAAGAAAAGCACAGCATAAAACATGAAGTCATTGTCCAAGTGCATGGCAATAAAGAGAAATTGCTGAAACAGCTCTCCCCATTTTATGAAAAGTACAGCTTCTGCACCTGCTGAAAGTTATTGTTGGGTTTGGTTTTAATTTATAAATGAGTCAATGGCAAAAAAAAAGGGTCCAAAAGGACATTTAGATTGCATTTGACACGTCTTGCAGAGAGAAATAAGGCCACACCTCTTCCAAAGACAGGATTTATATATAGGTGTCACTGAATGCTTTGAAACTGGAATCTACTGTTAATCTCTGCTCTAGTGCTCCATTCCCCTGAAGAGACGTTTTACAAGTCTGTTGTAAAAAAAGCCAAACCTCATTTTGTCTGAAAAACTGACTAGATGCTTTTTCACTGAACTGTCTCAGCAGAAGGGTCCTGAATGCTAGCAGGGTTTCCTCTAACAGCAAGCATTCAGCACAAAAAGACAAATATAAAAAGACAAGCATTTCAGAAGAATTCATCAAAAGATAAAAACTTTCTGTGCATCTACACAAATACACATGTAATAATACAAGTAAGATGAGCTTTGCCACTGTATAGTGGTTCAAGAAGATTCTGCTACAATACCTGCTCACAGAGACACAGCACAGCTCTTAGTGAGGAAGAATTCTTCCAACTTAAACTGAGATGTTCCAGCACAAAGGTCCTGCCTGCACAAAGGTGTCAATAAACAAATCACAAAAATCTAACCACAGCTAAGCAAATGCTATTTGGCCATTTACCAGGTGACAGTCTGTACATGCCTCTGTACAGTCAAGTTCCTGAAAATGAAACACAAGAATATTATTTAGCCAAAAATGGACTCACTGTTCTGAACGGCTCATATGCCTGCGGAGTCCCTTCCAAGCTTAAGAGCCTGAAGTTGTGCAGGGGCTCCCTGAAGCAGCATTTATCTGGTCACACACAGAGAGCACTGTTGCTGTCATTAGATGACAAACTTCTGGTGCACTGGATGCACAAGTGACTCCTGAAATGTTATTCCTTACTGAAGCATCTCAGTTTTGAATGATAGGGATTGAAAAACAATGGGATATTTGCAGTAGAAGAATCAGCTATTTTTTTAATTCAGAATTCATATATACAGCCCATAGAACTCTGTGTAAATGCAGACAAAGAGCTTCATATAATGCAGTGCCTTCTGGATTGATCTCACAGTTGCTTATATACACATCAGCATGAATTGCTCAGTGTAACCCACTCTCCCCTCCCCACCCCCCAGTGTTTGTTCCTGACACTGGATTAAAAAATAAGATTCCAGCCTTAGACTTTTTTTTTCTTGCAGAGGCACCAAAGTAGGCTTGCTCAATCACTCCGCCTTGAGGTGAAGAGCCTCCCGCCGTTGCTTCTGAACAGCCCTGGAATCTTCCCACAGACGGGGTCCTCTGATGTTCTCCCAGTTATCCAAGTCAGACTTGTCCAGCTTCTGAAGACAAACAGCAAAAATAACAGTGTCATCTTGACAGCCCCACGACTTAAAGTACATACTATTCTAAATTGTTTTCTTTTTGCACAAGAAACTCAGTATCGCTGTTGGGTTGATCAACTTTCATCTACCCTGCAAGAGAAGTTCAACAAGAAAAAATTAATTTGGGAGTTATCCATATAGCTGTATGAACTACTAGGGTGAGCATTACTGCATCTGCTTATCAAAAGACAAGTAACAGGTAAATAACATATAGGATAGGTAGCACTATAGCATCTGAACATGATTAAAGATATCTTGTATTCACTTTTTCTTTCTTCTCTCACCTCGTTTTCCAGATCTGTTCTTCAACTGCAAGTCTGCCAAGTACTGAAGTACTGAAGGAGTGATAAGCATTGGTATAGCTCAAACAGAAGATTAGTAATTAGTGACCTGAAGTATCCTGTCAGCACAGACACGAAGCATACCGGAAAAGATGAATTATCTAGCACAAAGAGAGACAGTAACAGTGCAATCCCCTTCAGCACGTGTGGTTTTAACTTGAGAGAGGTATGCGATGCTTTCTACTGCCTAGTTTCTCACAGCACTCAACCACCGCACATAGCGTGACTTAGTGAGACCCGTAACTGGCCAAACTATCTTGCTTTTAGTTACCTCCTTGCCTATTCCTATCAGCCCCACTCAGAAGTAATGACAATTGCAGTATTTATCTAGCCTTAGAGGCACACAAAAATGAAAAAGAGACGCCGTCCTGACCTCATCTACCAGGTGCTGTAGTTGAAGAAGACAAACGTACACTGCATCCTCGCTGTCCTACTGGCAGAGACATTGAAGTCCCTTCCCAGCAGAAACAGACCTCACGTCTCACATACTGGCCTGCAGTCTGGAACGGTACATCAGACACAATGGGGCTCTGCCAACAGGAGCCTGAGGAGGGGGTCTGCACTGTGCCAGAAACAGGGATATTGTACATGGTACTGAGGAGGGCAGTACTGCATACCATCAATAATACATACTGCTGCAGGATTTAAACCTCTGATTCATGATCAGGGCTTCACCTCAGCAAATACTGTAAAAATACACCAGAAAATACTTAACCCTGCCCTGAGCCTGTGATCTAATTTGCCTGTCATCAATCATCTAAATAAATGCCAAATACTGAGGGACTTGAATAATAGTCACAGAATAATTCAACAGCTAGGACAGAACAGACCTGCTGCGATTAGTTCATGTTATGTAAAAGTTTTCTGCCACTTCTACAATTGAGGAAATTGCAATGAGGTTAGTCAGGTATCAAAAGAAATTAGGCAACATTCAACAGAAGACACACGAGAACACATGCACAAACACAGCAGACTTCCACAAGGTAGGAGCAACTGAATTTTTTATACAGTGGAGTTAGCATAGGTCTTTCTGAAAAATTGTCTTCACTACTTTATACATCTTAAGATTAGCTTCATTTCAACTGGAAGGGATCTGAGCTGACATGGAAGGAGGGAGAAGGAGGGAGTGTACCCATCATCCCATGCAGAGGCAACTATCCGCTCTGATTGCAAATTCAGAATTTAACATCTGATTCTATGAGAAGCTTCAAGAAAACTACACTGAAAATAAATTTGTGCTTTAACAGAAGGGAAGCATGCTGATTTTTTTAAACATAAAGGTACCACACAGATGTGAGGATCTAAACCAGGCCCAAAGGTGTCTGGCTCCCAAAGTCTGAACAATAATCAACATTCACAATATACACAACAAAACTTGAAGTATCTAAACATAGGCTACATAAAGAAGTCTATCAAGAGAGACATGCACACTGGAGATCTTTACCAAAAGTTTGTATTAATCTGCCCCTGAAGTTTCACCATGGCTTTTCAGAGAGGAGATTTGTCCAAAACAGGAAATATGTCAAAACTGTACAATCTAAACAAACCAGTACAAGAAAATATTTTGGCAGTTTCCAATGGAAAGCTTAAAGATACCCGGAAAACACACTGTGATTATACTGACAGAACAAAATAACCAAGGGTGGTACTGTATGTACTGTAAAGAGCATTGCCTCCAGTTACAGAACAGAAGAGATCTATTGACAGAGTTTATACTTTAATTGGCAAAAATTAAGATTTAAGGATTCTAACAAATACATAGAGAAACTCTATTTCTGTTTTTTATTCTCACTATATTTACAGAGATAATTAACATTTTGTGTTATCTGTAAAGATTGTATTTGATACCTTGCTGCAATTCAAGAAAGCACCTTCCTCACTGGCACGACAGTATCTGCAAAAATCAGTAGTTTATGAGACAAGTATCTGTTCAGTCATCAGAAGGCAGCATGATTAGACAATCCAATTTTCTAAACTGATGCTACCAAGTTTTGAAAGAATAGAGGACCCCTGTTGTATGTGGATAAGCATAAGAAGTACCACCGGTGAAAGGAGACACGAAAATCTGTGCTGCAATGCTTTCCTACTGTATAGCTATTTTCACATGTATCTACCCGTGCTGGTTCTGACTCGGATAGAGTTGATTTCCTTCTTAGTGGCTAGTATGAGACTGTGGTTTGGATTTGTACTGAAAAGAGGGTTGATAACACAGGGATGTTTTTGTTACTGCTGAGCAGTGCTTACACAGAGTCAAGGCCTTTTCTGCCTCTCACCCCACCAGCAAGTGGGCTGGGGGTGCACAAGAAGCTGGGAGGGGGCACAGCCAGAACAGCTGACCTCAACTGACCAAAGGGATATTCCATACCATATGGCATCATGCTCAGCATATAAAGCTGGGGGAAGAAGAAGGAAGAACGGGATGTTTGGAGTGACGGCGTGTGATGGAGCCCTGCTGTCCTGGAGATGGCTGAACACCTGCCTGCTGATGGGAAGCGGTGAAGGAATTCCTTGTTTTGCTTTGCCTGTGTGTGAGGCTTTGACTTTACCTACTGAACTGTCTTTATCTCAACCCATGCATTTTCTCACTTTCACCCTTCTGATTCTCTCTCCCATCCCACTGGTGTGGTGCCTAGTTGCCTGCTGGAGTTAAACCACAACGCTACCTCACATAAAACTAAATAAAGCTTAACCTTCTTGTTTGGTCACTGTCATGAGAATTCTTACAACAGTATCACCCCGAATAAACAGCCACATTAGAGGTAGGCCAAAGCCATGTACATTTTAAATTAATCATAGTTCTGAGAAAAAGACCAAACTGACAGTCCTTCTATAAATTAGGTACAGCACAAGATGCAAAGTTGCAGAGCTCCTTCAGACTGCCTCAGCTGTACAGTGAGAATTCAGGCAAGCAGCTAGATCTGCTCCCAGATGAAGTCAACCTCTTCCATTCAAACTGGTTGGGCCTTTTTAATTTTCTTTTTTTCTTTTTTTTACTTTTTAGCCACACCAAACTTCATGGAGACATCACATAAAGATAGTAAACTACTTCCAGCTTTTACTAAATTGAAATCCGTATGAACTGCCAGTGTAAAAGCCAAAAAGCTTTTTCTCCCAATTCAAATGTACTAAATAGTCAATCATTGGAGGCTACAATGAAATATAATCAGATCAGACCAGCACCACTATTCCTGCTTGTCTCAAATAGCCCAAAGGATATTGAAAATTAGCCGTTTAAAGTAAGATCCGTGTAGTCCATTAAACCTACTGATTCACTTCCTAAATCAGCTAAACTGCCTCTTAAAACTACAGAACTGACAGAAGCTGTAAATTCAAGAAAAAAATGCAGCTATGGAGACAAGCACTGTGAACAAAAATAAAATGTTAAACTGTTTGCCACACATTTGACTTTTACAACTTTTGTTAAAGAGCTTGACTGGCACAAAGGTACCAATAAGGATGTAAAGAGATGTTCACTTCTTAAATGCTGGTTCAAATGCCTGGTTCGGTATTAACTAAAAGCTGCAACCCCTGTCAGCCTTAAAATAAAATAAAATTTACAAGAGTTTGAATTCTACTCTTGGACGATAGTCTTCATGCCGCAATGAACAACCTGAAATCTGCAGAAATTCATTTAGAGCTATTGGTGCTCAGGCTCAGTTAATTCAGGGTGGTCACTTGCAAAAAAGTTTGGCTTTGGTTTGTTTCCCACATGTGAAAGGAGGGGTTAAGAAAATCCTGTTTACTTTACAGCTCGATGAAATAGATTCTGTGATGAGCACCACAGAAAGAAATTAATTCAGAGAGACAATTATTTCCCATAATTATAGTAAGCAAACCCATTTGCAGATAAAAGATGAGCCAGGGAAGAATATCCTCATGGCTGAAAGATGTAGTAAAAGGATTGCATTAAACCAGTCTGTTTTTTCACAGGCGTCAAAACAACGTGAAGACCATAAAAGATATATTTAGGAACTCTACGATGACGTACAGATGCAGAGGTACAGAATTAAGGCTAACACTGAATCTCCTGTCTTGTGCATGACTGAAAATCTTAACTTTATCATCATACTGATATGGCCTTAGTGTTGGGTTTTTTTCTTTCCCAGAGCCACCTTTCTGACATCTCATTTTCTTAACATAAACTTGGTGTTACTAATTTTGTTTGGGATGTGACATAATATAGTAGCTGCAATTAGTGATTTAATACTCTGTGATTTAACAGCCCATGATTAGTGATTTAATCCTCAGATTAAAAAGAAGTATTTTTTCCAACTAGAGAATGTTTAGGTTTTTATGTTATTAATATACAAGCAAGTCAGCAAGCAGCATGTTACAGCTAGAATAAGGGGGTTTTGTTCATTAAGGGAAGAAAAGGTTGTGGGATTTTTTTTTTTTTTTTTTTCCTTTGCATGTAAGCAACCAGAACTCTGCTTCTCTTTTTGGCATTGCTGAAGACAGGCAAAAACTGCAATGATTTTGTTGCTAACTTCAGTGGGATCCAATACCATCCCTCTATGGCACAGTTTATTAACGTATGGTGAACTGGTTTAAGAGACTCTCTCCCCACTGGTTATTTTTCCTTAATTATGCTAATACAGCTCTATGTGGGACTGTGCC